TCCTGGCAACATGGGTTTAAAGGATCAAAGTATGGCACTTCGTTGGGTCTCACAAAACATCGAATGGTTCGGTGGCGATCCGAACAAAGTCACTTTGGTTGGATTGAGTGCTGGTGGTGCAAGCGTACATTATCATTACTTATCGCAAATGAGCGCTGGACTATTCCAAGGTATTTTATGAGAATATTAATGTAAATATTAATGCAAAGATTAAATCGTTTCGTTATACATTAAATTGCTACGTCGTAATTTTATATAATCTAGGTGGTATATCGTTCAGCGGTACAGCATTTGATTGTTGGACGCAAGCTGAGAACTCTAAAGAGAAGGCCAAGAAATTGAGCGCTTTAATGGGATGTCCTACAACTAGCTCCAGAGATATGATACGTTGCTTGAGACATCGTCCAGCTCGCGCGATGGTTCAGGCTACGAGTGAATTTATGGTGAGACTCACTCCTTTCTTTTATTGTCTTGAAACAAGAATACAATCTTCGGATATAGAAAGAAAAAATCTGATTGATTCTATGATTTTAGCCGTTCTTGTACAATCCCTTTACTCCTTATGGTCCGGTAGTTGAGAAATTTGGTGACGAAGCACCCTTTATCGACAGAACACCCGTTGAAATCATTAACAGTGGAGATGTCCAGGATATACCCTGGGTGACGGGAGTAACGAGCGAGGAAGGTCTCTATCCCGTAGCTGGTAAGATAACGCGCAGAAGAATAAGAAAACTCTTCTCTCGACACGTAGTTATTTATGACTATTAATTTATCGTAGAGTTTATCTCTGATGATGAAAGTCTGAAACAGTTGAACGACAATTGGGATATTCTTGGACCGAATTTTCTTGATTTTAATTACACCATTCCCAAGGAGAAACGTGTCGAGATTGCTCGTCTCATTAAGGAACATTATTTTGGTACAAAATCGATAGACCGACAAAGTGTGAAAGAACTGATACAAATGGCGAGTGATCGCTTTTTCGTAGTCGATGGCGAAAAGGCTGCGCGAATGCAAGCCAAAGTAAATCAGAATCCAGTCTGGTTTCATTATTTTAATTACAGAGGAGAACAAAGTTTAAGCGATGCTTTTAGCGGTACCACTACAAATTATGGTAAGTTTATAAAATATTAATACTCAATATAGACACACATATATACTAAGAGTAAAGAGTTTAATTAATTTACAATTTATTTATTCATCTTTTAGGAGTCTCACACGGCGATGATTCATTCTACGTAGTAGATACTAAATGGCTTAATCCAACAACAACACAAAAGGACCGTGATATGCAGAAATACTTAATCGACTTTTGGGTATTGTTCGCTACAGAAGGGTAAGCACAAACATATATATGTATTATAGCACAAGTATATGTACATATATATTACATATAATATTGAAAGTCACACAATGCAAAAATCTAATTCTCCGAATTTTTTCAGAATTCCGAAAGTAGCCAATGTGGAATGGTTAAAATTAGATCCTTCAAAACAAGAACTTCACTATTTGAATATAGCAGGTCCTGATAAAATTAACATGGACAGCAATGCTAATCTTGGAGAAAAAAAATTTTGGAATTCGATTGATTTCAATGAAAATATATTAAATCAAACAGCTGGAATCAATAAAGATGAGCTTTAAGAAGTATTGCAATAAAAGACAAACGTGCATCTTACCTAATTAAAGTGAATTTAAATATTTGTTTTAATTTAACATTAATCAGTTTTATATATAAATTTATGTTAAGTTCTTATATAAATTTAGAAATATATTTTTCTTTATTGCTAACTTGAAGAAATGTGAACAACTATAATTTTTTGTACAAATAATAAAAAGGGCTAAAACTTCTTATACCTTATTCTGTTTAATTTGATGTTTATCTCTTATTGATATGCAGGGAATGGAAAGTTACTTTTTAAAAGTAACAAGTTACAGTTACTCGTTACCGAGTAGGAAAAGTAACAAGTTACCGTTACTAGTTACCGATTTTTAAAAGTAACTCGTTACAGTTACCGTTATTTGAGAAAGTAACTTTTCGTTACTTTTCCG